CCCCGGACGCCAGGTGTCCCCGGACGCCAGCTGTCCCCCGACGCCAGGTGTCCCCGGACGCCAGGTGCCCCCCGATGCCAGCCGTCCCCCGACGCCAGGCGTCCCTGGATGCCAGCCGTCCCACGCCCGGCCTGCGTGTGGGCTGTGGGGCCAGGACGCCCCAGCGGAGGCTGAGCTGGGGCTGGCTGGTGCGGTGCGGGAGCACTTCTGACGCGGGGCCACGCGCGGTAGGTTTTCAGGGGCCTCGGGGGTCACACCAAGGCGGCGCGGATAGAAACAGCAGAGCATGTGGGATGAGCCGAAGACCAGCCTAGAACGAGTCCGAAAAATCCAGGCAGATCCCTGGGCGGGGTGTGAACTCAGGAACCGGTGTTTTGTCCACGTCCGTAGTGTGGACGCTACAGTGGCCACGCGAGCAGCCCCGCGGGAGGGCCTGCGGGAGCCCCCAGGGCATGCGTGCTCAGAAGGGCTGCGAAGGGTGGCAGCTCCCAGAGGTTGGGGCTGCAGAGGGTATGCCCGGGAGGGGCTGCAGTGGGGGGCCCGGGAGGGGCTGCAGGGGGGACGCTGCAAGGCCCAGCAGGGTTTGCTTTGCCGCTGACCGCTGCAGGCCCCACGGGAGTGGGGACAGAACCGCAGCAGGTCAAGTGTCCAGACACGGCTCTTAGGGCGTTGAGAGGAACAGACGCGGGTCCGCAGGGGCGTCCACAGCCTTTCCGAAAGCCTCGAGGCTGTGCCCGGCTGCGGTGCGGCAGCGGCGAGCCCCGCGGCGGCCACACGGCGGCGCTGCAGGACAGCCTGGCGGCCGGCCCCGCTGCGGAGTGGCCCTGCGCCCCGCATCTCAGCACTCCAGCACCTGGCACCCAGCAGGCAGTGGCTTCTGGGGGTCCTCGCAGGAAGTGGGGGGGGTCCAAGAAGCCCGGGCTACAGGAGAGAGCTTCCCGGACCGGGACTGCCCTGGGCCTGCCCGGCTGGGAGAGGTCCGCCATCTGTCCACTCATCACCGGTTCCTCCTTTGGAGATCATCACTGCAGACACAGGCCCATCTACACCGCTGTGAGGGGCGACGGGGAAACCAGCGCAGAGGGACCGGTCACCTGCCTGACCTGGAGCTGGACTCTGAGGCCCTGGCCTCAGTGGGAGGACGGATGGAGGGAGTGGTGGTGGCCTGCACAGGGGCGGGGGGAGCGGACGGACATGTGTCTAGAAGCTGTGGCCTGCGGGGTGGAAGCAGGTGGGGGGGCCCCGGGGCTGGCTTCAGAGTCCCTCTGGTCACGCTGCACCCCCGTGCTGCGGTCTCAGGCTCAGGAAGGGTGTCTGGGAGTGGGAGAGCCGAGAAGGGGCCTGTGGTGGGGGGGGCAGCATGGGTGCCGGCGCAGGGGCGCCGCTGGGCAGGGCTGTCCCGCAGCTGTGCTGCCGCAGGGGCTGCAAGAGTCCACAGGTCCAGCAGGGCCCTTGGGTGTCGCTCCCACATGGTGTCAGTGCCTCTCGGAGTGATCACGGAGTGCCCGGTCCTTCTGAGACTGGGCCATAGAAGCACGGGGGCCTTGTCCCGGCCGCCAGCTGGACGGCAGCCCCGCGGAGGGAGCTCGGAGCCGGCCACTCATGCGTGGCCGCTGGGCTTCCTCGCACCCAGGGCGCCCGTGGACCTGTGGTGAGTGGCCGAGCAGGGCTCTTGTGACGCACCGGGGACCGCAGGTGCTCTCCACGACCCGCCCCTGCACTCGGTGCTCAGAAGCGGCTCTGCTGCCCCCCAGGGCTCTTGGGGCCCGTCCCCAGCTGGCCTCGAAGCAGGGGGGGTCCCACGGGGCTGCCCGGTCCCCAAACCGCTTCCTCTAGAGCTGGCCGTCTGCGGGCCTGGTGCGGGGGCTGCAGGCTTCACGGCCCCTCCGGCGCCTGCGTGTCCCCAGGTGCCGGCGTCACAGGCCCTGCGTGTCCCTGCAGCCTCGCTCTCCCTTGGGACGCATGCAGTCAGAGGAGCGCCTGTTTCCCGCAGGCGCAGCCTGGATTCAAACCCAGCCCGGCCCACAGGCCCTTCGGGAGCCACACTCTCTCGCCTCTGGGCATTTTGTTCATTGAGGGGACGGTCACGTCACGCACAGCTCACCATCTGAAAGTCAACAATTCAGTCATCTGGTGCCTTCACAACGCCGTGTGACCACTGCCTCTGTGCATTCTAGCCCCTTCTCCTCACCCAGGAAAGCATCCGTGCCTGTTAAGCAGTCACTCCCCGCCCCCTCGCCCCGCCCCTGGTGGCCCCGGTCTTTCTGTTTCTGTGGATTTCCGACTCCAGATCTTTCATGAAAAAACAAGTACACGATACGTGGCCTTCGGTGTCGGTCCTCTCCCCGTCTGGCCACACTGTGGCAGGTGTCGGCACTGGCTTTTCAGAGCTTGGGCATAAATGCTCCAGTGCGGAGAGACCACATTTTGTTTATGTGGACATCAGTGGACGCCTGGGCTGTGTCCCCCCCCCCCTCAGCTGTGGTGACCAGCGCGACCAAGAACATTCGTGGGCGAGACCCTGTGCGACCGCGCGTGAAGACCTCGGCACCCCCTTTGGACCACCGTAGCTTTGTAGTGAGTTTCGAAACCGGGAACTACCAATACTTCAGGTTTTTTCTGGCTCTTTTCAGGGCCCCTTGTATTCCCATGTGCTTTTGAGGGCCGGCCTTCTCATTTCTGCAAAAAGGCAACGGGGCTTTTCATCTGGCTGAGATCACCGTGGAGTGTGGCCATGGATGGCCACGGGGCCTTCGCGCCCGCGAGCGCACAGCCACGGTGGGCGGGGCTGGCTCTGCCTTCACGACATGACATGGAGCCTTTTTCGGGCTGCTCCTTTGTTGGGGTGCCATTTGCTTCTCCCCCAGCCTGGAAAGTTCTGATACTTAGCAAAAAAGAAAGAAAAACCCACGTGGGGTTCCCTCTTCCTTTGGTTTTAGCTGTTGCTGGCCTCTGCCCCCCTTCCCTGGGGAGCCCGGGGTCCTGTGCATGGCTGGGGCTCCCTCTGAGCTGGCTGGGGCCGCTGGAGGTTCCTGGTCTGGACCCTCCAGTTAGGACAAAGTGGGGCTCAGAATGCATGATGGGGGATGGGCCATCATGGTCCCCGGGGCCCCTCTCCTGCAGGGCCTCTGCCTCTGGACCCCTGTCCCCCTCCCCATGTACCAGGCTGTGTGGCCAAGCAGGCTGCTCACTGGTGCAGGTGGGTGGTCGTGGGGCCCTGGCAGGCGGGGGCCTTGGGGGCAGCCCTAACCCAGGATGTTCAGGCTGGAGAGGTGGGCGGGTGGGGGGGGGGCGTATGCCCTTGGTCCTGTCTTGGAGACATGAATCCCACCCCTCACGGGAGGAAAGAGGGGGCTGTAATTGATTTCCAAGGGGCTTCTCTTGAAGAGGAGAGATCGGTAGAATGCCGCAGGTTTCCCGGGATTCGCTGAGGGCCTGGCACCAGACAGTACCTGAAACCCTCTCCCCAGCTCCCTCCTCAGCCCTGAGGCCAGCCACCTGCCAGGCCGGGAGCTGATGGCCCCAGTTCCTAGCGAAGCCCCGATGTCAAGCCCCGGCTAAAAACTCGGAGAAGAGTGCGTCCGCCGGGGCTGTCCCTGCTCGCTGGAAATCGCCACGGGGAGGGCGCCCCAGCCCCGGTCTGTAATGTATCCCCCCCACCCCGCACTCTCCGCAGGGCCGCTTGTCCTGAGACTGGAACCGGCGCACGCGGGCTGCCCGCACCCGTCCGCACGCTGTGTCCCCGCAGGGCAAGCGGCGGCCGGCCGCGACACGGGAGAGCGCGCTTGTGCACCTGCCGTGCGCAGGTGTGTGCGGTCAGCGCCCGGCGCGGACAGCCTGCGGACGGTCCTCAGGTGGCCCCGAGCAGATCGGACCCAGCTGCCCGGCTCGGTGGCTGCAGGTGGCCCAGCAGGACGACCCCACGACATGCCACTCCCCGAGGAAGCTCCCGTCCCCTCCCCCAGGGCGCCGCGGCGAGGGGTACCGGGCCTGCCCAGGGGAGGGGAGGCGAGTCGCTTGGCGGGTCCTCGGCGCCCCCCGGTGGCCAAGTCCCGCCGCGCATCCATCTTTCATTTTTACGGGCACCGGGTTAGCACTCAGGTCCTGGCGACGAAAAAACCGATGTTGATGGGAAAATATCACTTTCTCTGCGGAAGCACGGACGTGGGAAGGCTGGGTTTCTTTCTCGCAGAAAACAATGTCACCCCGGTCAGGAGCGCAGCGCTCAGACCCCCAGGTTTCCATGGCGACGGCCACCCTCCCCCTGTGCGGTGCTGAGCCCAGCAGGTGATGCACGGGTTCCAGGCTCTGCCCCATGGAGGCGCGGCCACCCCCAGGGGGGCCGGGGCGGGGGGGGGCAGGAGCGGGGCTGATGCCCCCCCCCCCAGGGCAGGACAGACGCTTCCCTTCCCATTCCCGTGGCCATCCACCTCCTCTTGGCAGAGGGTCTCCTGCATTTGCGGGCTCTGCTTGGTGGGGGTCTTTGCCCTGAAGCCTGCAGACAGCGGGAGCCGTAGGCTGATTAAAGCCCCTTAAGGATGTCTGTGTCCTAGTCTGGAGGCCGTGACGCCAGGGGACAGGGGCCAAGGGAATGATGTAGGTGGCCCTGAGGCCAAGAAGCTGCCTGTGACGTTGGGAGACTGTCCCCTAGGGTCCTTACAAGTGGAAGAGGACGCAGAGAGCGTCAGTCATGTGACGAGAAGCTCCTGGAGCTGGGGATACGGCAGACCCTGGAAGCCCTGGAAGCCGGGAGAGGCAGGGAAATGCAGTGCCCTCTGGGCCCCTCCAGAGCCAGTGGCATTTGCAGTCCCGGAAGCCTGGCCGTGGTGGTCTACTGCGACAGCCACGGGAGGCCAGCACAGGGGTGTCATCAATCTGGGGAACCCACCGTGCTGTTCCCAAGACCTGGCCGCTCTCTTCCACACCAGCCAGCTCCTTGCTGCAGCCCACGGGCCGGCTGTCGCGACTGCGTCCGCCCAAGCCCACTCCTGTGGTTGCTGGGCCCAGGTGCCGTGCTGCTGGGGTGTGAGCATTCCCTCTGGAACGAGGACCCACACGGAGCCCCCAGAACCCTCACCCCAGCAGAACCAACCAGGGCTTAGTGGGCCGTGATTTCTCCAGGAAGCCGGCCAGCTCCTCCCAGGGAGGCCCACAGCGGGGAAGGATGGGGACCCTGGGTCTTGGGCGTCACGTGGCCCCTTTTCTGTGAGGGCCGCAGTGCGACCTGGGGGCATCGGCTCCTCCTCTCACTGCACCCGGTGCACCTAAACCTCCCCATCGCCCCCCGTTTGGGTCTGGTGTGCATAACTGGTGGACCTGGGGTGCACCCCGCCCCACACAGCACCCCGCAGCCTCCGTGGAGTGAAGGTCTTCACGCGGGCCTCGGGGTCAGGATGCCTGAGTCGTGATCCCAGTTCTGCCGCCACCCGATGGCCATGGCTTTGGGCGAGTTACTTAATTCCTGTCCCCCCACTTCCTGCCGCAGAGTGACGAGGGCCCGTCCGCAAGTGGCGTCCAGGAAGCCACACCCATGGAGGATGGGGGACCTTCCATGTCCCACTCGCTTTGAGGCATGTCCACTCGCATCCTCGGACCCCAGGGAGCGTCGGGGCGACGACCCCACGTGGGAGGCAAACCGGGGCCGATGTGGAGCCAGGTCATTGCGGGGCACGCGGGCCGAGGGCGGGGAGGACGGGGAGGCGGACTTGGCCCCCGAGCCTCGAGCCTCGGGAAGGAACCGGGGCAGCAGCCGGCGCACCGCCCGCGGCCCCCTCCGGCTGCGAGAGGGCAGGTTGCGTGGTTTAAAGTCGGCCGCGGGAGGGGGCGCACTGGGGCTGGAGGCCCTGGGAAGAGAGGCTCAGCTCCCGCCGCGCAAAGGGCCCGCCCAGGCCCCGCCCCCAAGCCACAAGGCCGCAGCCGGTCACCTCTGCACTTGTTTATTGTCATGAACAGCTGTCGTTTGCTCTCACTCACTCCGCAATTCTCATTTGGTAAAATAAATAGAGATAAGCGAACCTTCAGGGCGTGCTCTCTGGAGCCCCGGTTAACTCCATGATTGGACTTTCGCGTCGGACCCGGGAAGCCCCTGCCGGCCCCGGGGCGGGCGGTTCTGCGTCCGCACAGACGGCCCGGCTCCGCTCCTCGGCCCGGAGTCTACTGCTCCCGACCCAGCCGGTGGCCGGGTGCCGGCGGCCCGGGAGCCCACGTGGACCCCGGCCCGGAGCCGGCTCCTGGGGCGCACGGGGGTCCCCCAGGCCGCCAAGGCCGGTGCTGCCCGGTCCCCGGGTACGCAGCCCTGGCTGAGGCACAGTGCCGGCCACAGCTCGAGGGGACTCACATTCCCACGATTATGGCCTCGTAGTGGCAGAATTAGTTAAGCCAGCTCACTCCTCTATCGAATAATCTTGATTCCCAAGGAAAATGGAAAAAATGCTTTTCAGAATATCGTCATTGTGGTTTTGTTTTACAAGCGCTGTTTGTAATTGCTTAGCACATTCTCTGTTGTCCTTCCTGGGGCTACGCCATCCCCGTGGCCCCAGGTCGTGCACACGTGAAGACACGCACACCTGTGTGCAGACATGTACAGACGCCCTGACCCACGCCCAGCAGTCACCAAGAACCTTCTCTGCATTACTCACTGCAAGACACCAGCGAGTGGCGGCGCAGACGGGCCACTACTGACCCACAGATGCCCTTGCACTGTGCACGTGTGTGACGCCCATGCAGGTGGGAGGCCTCAGGACCGCACAAGTGTGCACTCGTGTGTGGGCTTGGGTGTGCAAACCATGGGCTCTGCACATGCGTGTACACCCGTGTGGGAGGCCACAGGCCTGGTGACCGTCACCGCACCTGCCTGGGGAACAGCAGCACTCAAGAGAAGCGGGGCCAGTGGCCCAAGACGGTGGCTGAATGGCCACCGACCTGCCTCACCCATCCAAAGCCACAGGCCCCTTCTGCTAGCGGGTCTGTGAGGAGAGGGGCCTGTGCCGGGAAGGTGGGCTGCGTGGCGGAGGGGCACTGACAGTCCTCACACCATCTGGCCACGAAGGCCCCTAGTGGGGCAGGGACTGGCAGCTGGCGAGGGGCCTTGGGCTGTCTCCTCGTACGCGCGCCGGCTCTGTCTCTCGAACGCCCCTGCCTCCCGGGGTGCTTGGAAATGCCCCCAGGAGCGTGTGCGCAGAAAACAGCCCCGGCTAGCTTGTAGCCAGGGGGAGGCGGCCCAGGCCGGCTCATGGCCAGGCAGCGGCCCAGAGACCCACGCTGAGCGCTAGCGCTCCCCCGTCCGCCAGGGTGGCCGAGCCCTGGGGAGCTGGCTTCTGTCTCGGAGTTTTTGTGGAGCCAATGCTCGGGTCCCTCGCAAAACAGAACGAGTGTGTCTCCCTCTTTAAAAATCTCAGAAGCAAAACAGGACGGAAAGGGTGCTGGGATGTCTGTGACCGTCCTTGGGCTGTCACACGGCAGGACTCCACCAGAGGCCCCTTCCCTGGGCTCCCGGGCGCGACAGTGACCACAGACGGACGGACAGACAGCGAGGGGCCTCCTGGAGCCCTCAGCAGCAGGTCAGGACCAGTGTTCAGGGCGGCGCGGCGGGTCCACTATGTACACACGGAGGCCTGGCAGGGCGGGCACCCGCTATCTGGCGCGCTTCTCCACCGAGTACACGGAGATGTAGTAGTCATTGCTGCCCACGGCCAGGTGAGGCTGCAGGGAGAGCAGGGCGGGTGAGCGGGTGGGTGGGGCTGGAGGTGGGGAGGCCGCCATGGGGCTTCCCCACCCCCACCCTGCCGTGGCTCTCAGCAGAGGCCCCGCACCTCACCACAAGGACATGGGGGCTCCCCACAGCTCCCTGCAGGGATTCGTCTCGGAGCCCCGGGCTGCATGGGGGCCTCTGTTGGAGCCCAGACACTTGGGGAGTGACTGTGAGGGCTGGGCCACCCCTCCCTGGGGAGCACAGGCCGGGCAAGAGTGTCCTGGCAGCCTCCTCCCTGCTCAGCTTCTCCAGGGCTGGGATCAGGGCAGAGGCGAAGGGTGACAGGAAAAGGGGGGCTGTCTCCTGTCTGCGCAGCCCAGGACTCCCTGGCTGACGGGGCATCTGGCGCTGCTCCCGGAGGCGGCTTGGGGTGGCCGAGGACCTGACAAGATCTTGTTTTGCGCCGTTCTTGGACACGGGGAGGAAGAAGCCTAGGGTGCCCTGCCCGCCGCCTGTGGGGTGGGTGGGGGCTGGCTGTAGCCCCCCTGCCCCCGGCTCCTGTGCCCCCCCCAGCCCTCCCGAGCCCCCCGCACTCCCCTGCGGCCCCTCCGCCCGGGCGCGGGCAGGCACAGACCCAGTGCGGGTGGAAGGCCAGACAGCTGATGGCGCCGACGCGCTGGCCCATGAAGCCGTCGTAGTACTTGATGTGGCTGACCAGCTCCCCGCTCCCACTGTAGACCGCCGTGAACTGGTTCATGGAGCCGCTGCGCACAGGGGGTCAGGGGTGAGCTGGCCGCCGGCCCAGGGATGAAGCATGGGGGGGTGGTGGGGGCAGCTCAGCGCAGGGGGGAGGCAGGCGCGTCCTCTCACTGGGGCACCATCCCGGACACGGGGCTGACCTGCCCGCCCATCACCCACCCGCCATCCCACAGCGACGTGGCTCCGCAGAGCTCCCGCTCCCAGGCCGGGGGTATTGCCTGCGGTCACGTGGACACCCGGGGCTGACTTCGGGTGCTCTGAGGGGTCGGGGCAGCAAAGGCCCCTCATTTTCTCTTAGGGGCGGCACCTACCAGGCGATCAGGTTTGCTTGGGGGTGGATGTCGAGGGCCGTGAGCCCCTTCACGATCTGAAGGACATTCACAGACTCGGGCATCCGAGGGTCGAAGAAGCGTACGTCCCCGTTGACGCTGCCGGGAAAGGAGAGCTGCTGGCGAGGCTGGGGCAGGCCGGCCCCGAGGGCTGGCCTCGCGAGGTCAGGGGCCCAGGTGTGCATGCACTGCTCAAGGCCAAGGCCGGCCCCTGAGTGACCAGCGAGGCGGCTGAGCACAGCAGGAGCCCGCCCCACCGGCCACGGCGACCAGGCCTGCCACCGAGCCCCCCGGCCTCCTCCCCAGAGCTGGGAAAGGCCCTGCCTCCGTGGCAGCAAGTAGAGGCCCGGGGGCGGGGGCGTGAGTTACTGGTTTCCCGGGCAGCCCGGATGGGATTCTGTGCGGCTGGGCTGCAGTTACAGGATGGGAGGGGGCGGGCGGGCGGGAGGCCGGGAGGCTGCGAGTCGCCCCTGGAGGCCATCTTTCGTGCCCTTGGTCCCTGGCGGTGTTGTTCTAAGAGCTATGTCCCGTTTATGTGCTACAAACAAGGGACAGAGCGTCTCTGAAGAAACGGCGGCTCTGTGATGGTCACTGACATCGGCTGTCCCTTACGGGCAAGTAAGCAAGTAAGCGGGGGAAATGGATTCACGGCAGACGACCGCCCCACGCAGTGGTCCCACAGGAAAGGGCCGGAAGACGCCCGCCCCCTCCCGCGCACACCCTGCAGCCGCCGCTGAGCCGGCTGCCTGCCGCTGCTGCGAGGCTCTCCAACGGGGGACCGACGTGTCCCTGCCCTTCCACAGGCCCTGACCTTTCTGGCCAGTCCCCAAGTGCAGGTTAATTACTGCCCGGAAATGCCATCCTTTCCCGGCTGTTCAAATACCAAAGACATATTTTAAAGGGAGAGGAAAATAATGTTTTTACAGCAAAATGTCTCATAAATATTCTGTGCTCATTACCTCACACTCATGATGTGGCCCTCGGGGTGCTTCTGGAGGTAGGCCTTCACCACCCAGGCCGTGTGCTCCCGGTACGTCATGACGCGGCTGCGGGGGTGGGGGGAAGGACGGGGTCAGAGCCTGGACAGCGGCCTGGGCGGGGGAGGGGACAATGGGCTGGCCAGCTGCAGGGGACGGGACAGCGGGCCGGCCAGCTGCAGGGGAGGCGGACAGCAGGCTGCCTGGGCAGGGGTGGGGGACAGCAGGCCGGCCGCTGGCACACACAGCACCGGACAGGAGCTAAGAAGCCGAGAGTGTGACTTCATTTGGAATGTTTATGTAAAGCCCTCAGGGTCTGCTCGCTTGGGGGGACCAGTGGCCTCCACCCACCCTTCGCCGTCATGTCGGGAGCACGGCAGAGCCGCCCCAGAGCCCCTGGACAGGGTCTTGCACCGTGCAGCTCCCAGCCCACGACACTAAGGGTCAGGAGTGAGAACCCCAACCAAGGGGCAGCTGAAGCAGAGGCCCCTGGCACAGAGAACGTGCCGCACACGGCAAGCCACGAGTCATAGCTGGGGTGCGCGGGTGCCCGTGTCGCTGCCTCAGCACCAGGGGACCCCAGCCGTACCCTCAGGGCCACTCCATGACCCTCGGCTCTTTCTGGGCAATCTGGGACTTCACTGCCTGCTCAGGGTAGCCAAGACGACGTCTTGATGGAGAGAAAACTCCCCCTTTCAAAGCGCGCCACGAGCGGGTTTCCGTGTGCTCACGGCCAGCCCGGAAGGAAACCCCGCTCCCCACACACGATGGCGGCTTTCTGGGGGTGCTGCCTGTTCTCTGTGGGGACCCTTCTGCAGAGAACCTGCAGGGCGTGTGCGGGCCCAGCCGGCACCGGTCCAGCCTCAGGTCTGTCCTGGGAGACCCCGCCGGACGTGAGGCCCAGCACCAGGGCCTCAGCAGCAAACAGCCGCCCAGCAGTTCGCCCCACGGGCTTCCTTCAGCTCCACGTCCAGCACCTGCCCACTTGCCCCTTCCTCAGCCTTGAAGGCCGGGCCTGGCCAGGCCGTGGCCAGAGACGACACTATCATTTATCAGCCGTGGGGCCCGGGTGAGTGACCACCGGCTGGACCCAAGCACCTCACCTGCCCACAGGTAACAGCACTTGCCCCCCGTGCCTGGCTCCACCTGGCCCCCAGCGTAGGACTTGCCCCCAGAGCCCAGAACAGCCACAACATGCATGTCGCTCAGCACAGCACAGGGCCCATGCGGGGATTCCCTGACACTGTCTTCTTGGCCGCCTACCATGCACAGGAGGGAAACTGAGCTCAGGGAGGGCGGTATCTTGCCAGGCCCTCTGCCCTGCTGGTTTTTCCCCTCCATGTGCCGTGGAAATGTGGCCTTGGTGGGGGGTGGTGCCCAGTGGGCTGTGGGAGGCTCACTCTGTCTGGGCCCAGAGACCTGGCAGCAACAGGAGTACCTTGTCTGGAGGGTGCTGGGGCCGGGGGGGGGGCCAGATTACCATTCGCTGAGTGCCATCCTCCGGTCATAGACGCGGATGGAGCCATCGCCAAGGCCAGCCACGATGAGAGAGCGGTGGGAGTCACAGGACAGACTTGTCACGCAGCTGTCAGCGCCCGTGGGGATGTCCTGGGTGTGGACACAGGGACTGTGGTGTGGGCCCCCAACAGCGGCCGGTCATGCCAACACCCCAGCATGGGACCCCTGCCTTCTGCACCAGAGAAGGCTTGGAAGGCCCAGGGAGCCCGAGGGGCCCACAGGGGACCCGAGTGAGTCAGGCCACACCCACCCAAGAGCCAGTCCCCCGTCCCCAGGGCTGCAGCCAGCACAGGACTCTGGGAACCGGCTTTTGGTACCAATTAAACTTTCCAGTGTCTCCCTTTTTCCCCAAAGGAAGACAAAACATATTCTGGTAGGAGCGGATCCTCCTAATTGGTTCAGGAGGGGTCTAGGAAGCTCTGCCTCTGTAACTGCCTCCCTGGCTCCTGCTGGGGCAGTAAATGCAGGGGTCAGGGACACTGGGTAGGAGAGCGCATGGGACTAAAGGGACCACAAGAAGGAAAGCACTTTCCCCTCATCAGGGCTTTGCTGCTATCGGGCGCCTGGGGAAGAAATCCCACACGTGTGGCTCCTGGTCCGTTGAAGAGGCATCAGGACGAGGGCGGCAGCCGCACCTCTGGACACACAGCCTGCTCCGAGGCTTGAAGGGGGCCGGGGGCCGGGGGCCAGGGACGACCCCCGGGCAGCCGAGCTGAAGACAAGAGCCAGGGGACGGGCTCCTGCATAGGGGCTGCCGGCATCAGGTGTCCCCACTGCACTGGAGGGCGGCAGGGACTGGCCATCTCTGGGCCCCAGACGCGTGACACAGGCTGACCGTGCCGTTGTAGGACCCGAGCACAGGGCAGAGGGAGGTCGCCTCTGCTCGGGCTGTGGCAGCTCGGACAGCTGTGTCCCGGCCTCACGTCGGCTCCCCATCCCCAGCCCTTCCAGTTCGACCTGGGCCCGTCGTCCTCCACTGGGTGCCTGTGTGCCTGGCGGCTTGGCGGGAGGCCAGGAGGGCGGAGCTCCTGGGCCTCAAGCCACAGCCAGCACCACCACTCAAAACCTCGGTGGTCCCCAGCTGTCTGCAGCCCTACAACCCCTTCCAGGATGCCTCTGTCAAAACCAATTCTGTCCTTGCTCTGCTGATTAAAACTGGAAATAAAAGATGCTTTAAGAAGCACGCAAATAATTCACCATTCCAATTTAAAATGTGTTCACTCTGCTGCTTCCTGATAGTCCCTAATTTGCATGGGTAAAATACTTTTGGAAACAATTAGGATTAGCATAGGCTTAATCATGCTGTGATACAGGGTCAAAGTGTCGCGATAAATGGGCCGTGAGAGGTAATTAGCGCCTGATGGCGTGAAGGCCCACGACCCCCGCTCTCACTTCTCTGGGACAGGGCCCTGTCTGGGGGGGGGCAACAGAGCCGGGAGGCCGGGCGGGGGCTGTGGTTACCTGCACCTTCATCTCCCGGTCCGTATCCCAGATCCGGACGATCCGCACGTCCCCTGAGCTCATGAGGAGGCCGGTCTCCTGCTCCCAGTCCACCACCATCCCAGCTCCTGGACAGACACAGACCATTCCGCCGTCAACTCGGGACCCTGTCCCAGGCAGCCACTCAGCACCATGGAGTGCCTCACCACCCCAGCCACAGCCCGGTCCCCAACCCCACGGGAGCTCCAGGTTGGCAGTCTGGGGTCCCTGGATCCCCGCCCCGCCCAGATATCTGCTGCTGGGACAGCACCGTCCTAGGACTGTCGGTTCAAAATGCCCGTCGTCCTGGGCACAGTGGGCAGCTGTGCAACTTCACAGCGGGCACGGCGACACTGCTCTCGGCCACGTGAAGGCTTGAGCACGCAGTTTCTCGGCGCTGCGCAGGAGCTCTGCAGAGGCCGAGGAGAGCCCGCCGGGCATTAGGCCCACGCCAGGGCCGTGTGGGGTGACTGCAGCGCTCCTAACGGTGGCATGACAACCTCACGGACGGTCTAGTCAAGCCAGTCTACGCTTTAGATATCCAGGAGAGGTCCTGTACCCACCACCGAGATCAGCAGCTGGCACTTCCCTCCTTTCGTTCTTTTGAAAGGAAGCAAGACTTCAGACCAGTGAAAGCCTTACTTGCCTGCTCTGATCCCGGCTGGACCGTCCCCAGGCCGCGGGCACCTTCCCACGCCGGGCTGTGCGCGTCCCCCACCCAGGCACCCCTGTCCACACACCAGGATGGTTTCCGCCGATGCCACCAATTTTATACGGGGCGTGTTTTCTAGGAACCCGCGTTCCCCTTCCAGGCCACACCGTGCCGACTCCTCCTGCCCCACAGGCTGGGGTCCGGTGACCACTTAGCATTTATCCATTCCCTGACTCCACACACCTTGGCTGGAGCGGCAACGTCTTCTCGAGGCCGGTGTGCACTTGCGGGGGGCGGTCAGGGTCCCCAGGCAAGGCCACACCTGCAGCCGCAGCAGAGACCCCCACGGTGGGCTCCCCCAGACCCCGCGGCCACTGGTGTTCCCGCTCTTCTTCCTCCACCGACGCATGTACTGTGACCTGCACTGTGCCACCAAGATCTCTCCTGTTCTGTCACTTACGTGATGACCTCATTTGTATGTTTCTTTGGTCACGCTTGTCAAGCTCATTTCTGCTGCTCTGCGGCCCCCGCGGCCCTGGGCACCCTGTTCTCCAGGCCTCTCAGGCCAGACCCCATAACGCCTTGTTCTCTTCTACTTTGTTCTTTTTGGGTGGCGGATCTCCCTCCAGGCCCCAGTCTCCCTTCCAAACCCCGGGCTACCCCCTAGGTGCCCCCGCGAGCAATGCTGGGCCCTGGAGAGACATCTAAGTGTGGACAACTCGGCCCAGCTGTGGAAGTCTTCCTCTGCAGGGAGACACTGAACCCGTGGGCATAGGGTTTCCTTCTGGTGGATGAGAATGTTCTGGAATATTCTCATGCAGATGGATGGGGTCTTCTTGACCAAATAGTCACCTCCTGGATGTGGACACAGGGCCCCTGGGGCGGTCCCTACTGGCCGCTCTGTGCCAGGACACGACCCCCCCCACGCCAGGGGGCCACACCGAGCGTGCAGACATGGCCAGCGGTGGGGAGGGGCAGACAAGACGGGGCGGGGTGTTCACAATGTGGGGGGTGACTGTGCAGGAAGCTCTCTGACCCAGGAGGGAGGGAGGCGGGTGGGTGCTGAGGGCCCCCATCCCGGGGGAAGGAGTGTCTGAAGCCCCACTGTTCCTGACCCCATGTTTCCCGGGGCTTGACATATTTGCTAACGTTGAGGACAGAGAGCACGACTTCTGACCTGGGCCCTTTGGTGGCTCCTGTCAATCCTGGGCCCCTCAGCACGTCACCTCTGGAGTCAGGACCCTAGAGCAGTGGCAGGCAGGTGGCCCACGGCATCACTCAAAGTGGCAGCCCTTGGGGAACCAGCCGAGGGACCCTGAGAGTGGTCCTGGGCTGGCCCTGCTGGGATGCCCGGGCGGCTGCCCCAGCCAGTGTCCCAGGGGCCACTCCCTCCACGGGCTGGGGAGGGAGACAGACCCCGTGCCTCTGTGAGGCTCTGGAGCTGCTGACGTAGCAGAGAAGCAAGCAGACGTGACGAGGGATGGACGGCCTGGCACCACGGGGCAGGGACACGCACAGAGCCGGGCGGCACACAGCCTCGTATGTGGGAGACGGACAAGCCTCCACCATGGGGACACACCGGGCTCAAACGGAAGTTTGTTCAAGGCCCCAAAGACCCAAGTCTAAATGGGACTGAAAGGTCAGGTGTGACCCAGGAAAACAATGAAGCTGGACAGGCACGAGTTGGTCACATGGGGGTAGTTACGTCCGCCGGTCTGTGTCCAGCTGGCCTCGGGAAAACCTACATGTCCTCCGGCCCCAGGTCAAGGTGAGGCCCAGGTTTCCTGCAGTGGCTCCAGCCTTAAGGAGCGTTCTTTGTAACGCGTAAAACTCTAAGTCATCTGCTTGGTACAGACTCTGTGAGGGTCTTCTTTAAGAACAGGCGAATTCCCAAGTCCAAAGTGCTGTGGTCAGACCACGGACCCCAGACGTCAGCCTGTAGGCCGTGGCCTTGGGGGAGCGGCGGATGGGAGCACGGGTGCCAGGGCTCCCAGCCTGTCCCAGTGACAGAGCTGGGACAGGCTGCTGACAAGGCTCTCTCCGGGCGGGGACGTGTGTATTGTCCACGCGGCCGCAGAGCATGTGGGCCCCCGGAGGTGTGGACGTGTGGGGCGGCCGCCGCGGCAGACAGCACACCGCCTGTGCGTTCAGCCGTCCCTGGCGGGCCGCCTGGTGTCAGCATCAGCCCCGCCGGGGACTTAGGAGCCGGGCAGTCAGTGAGCGCGGAGGCCAGAGGGCATCTGGACGATGGAGTCCGTGTCTCGGTCCCATAGTCTGGGGTCACGGGGACAAGTGGAGAGGTTACGCGGTGGCCCTGCGCCGGGGGTGAGCCGTGCGGGCTTGCTCCAGTTTGCTCTGGGTGGCCAACCCAGGCCCGAGCGAAGAGGCGGGGCGCAGCCTCCTTCCTGCGGCGTTTTCCTCACCGGAGCCCGCCCGGGCCAGGGCCGGCTCTGACGCTGTTGTTCTGACTTCATCACTGCTCTGAGGACGCTCTCGGGCGCAGGAGCTGGGTGTGGGCACCCCAGGCCTCGGCGCCTCCATCGGGTGCAGCGCCTCTGGGAGCGTGTCCGCTCCCACCGTGAGCAGCGGGAGCGAAGTGCGCGCGAGCTCTGGCTCCTTGTGAGCCCCAGACTCTGGGACGCTGAGCCCGTTCCGGCTGAAAGTTGCAAGTGCTGCGGTCAGAGGACCGGAAAGCCGACTGTGTACTGCATGCTGTGGCCGGCTGCGTCCTCCTGTGTCCCGTGCACCGGTCTAGGGACGCAGACGCTTACGGGGACAGACGAACGGGACCCCAGAGAGGACGCACAAGGGCCTGAAATGTGGTGAGAGCCATATTCTCTGACCCTGTGACCCTGAGACACACCGCACAGAGGGACAGCTCTGGACGTGGAGCCTCCGGTGCCAGGAAGGCGCTGTCCCTCATCAACGCCGGTTTCCTGATCTGGAACACAGGCACGTGGTGGTCCTGCTCCAGATGAGGCCATAGCGGGTATGGACGGGAGAGCTCAAGCCCCAGAGTCTTCTGCACGGGATGCTTCTACACGAGGGTCTAGGAACCCTCAACCAACAGGCAGAGGTCATCCCCTCGGGCCCTAGGGTCTCTCGGCCAGCTGGTGGGGTGTGTCCCCCCCGGGGCTGATGCAGGCTCTGTGTATGGCCGGGGGTGTCCGTGCTGCAGGCCACCCTGTGCCAGCTCTGCGTACAGCCTCAGGGAGGTTTTTTAAAAAGCTGAGGACTTGGGGCGCCTGGGTGGCTCAGTGAGTTAAAGCCTCTGCCTTCTGCTCAGGTCGTGGTCTTAGGGTCCTGGGATTGAGCCCCGCATCGGGCTCTCTGCTCATCAGGGAGCCTGCTTCCGCCCCTCTCTCTGCCTGCCTCTCTGCCTACTTGTGATCTCTGTCGAGTAAATAAATAAAATCTTTAAAAAAAAAAAAAAAAGCTGAGGACTCAAGCCAGCCCAGCAAACTACAATACCCCAGAGCACACATGACCACCTTCCACGTTCCTGGGATGGTTTGGGATGGTTGACCCCCCCCATCCATGGTGGGGCGGGGTGGGCACTTCCCCAAGATGCAGACCCCTAATCTTGCCTGACTTTACCCTGGGCCCAGGCCCTGGACGCACCACCCAATCTGGAACCTGGCCAGAGGGGACTTCTTCCTTACGACGTAGATCCGTGCGGCAGAGACGGGTTACGGTACCTGGGACGTGCGGCTCTGAGACCCCAGAGCATCCCAGCCCAGTAAACGGTGGGAACGGACAAATGCGTTAATAGTCTGGATCCCTGTAACACCGCGGCCAGTCCAGACCGCCCACCGAGGACCCTGTCATGTGGACTGAACCTGAGGACCTGCCGCCCCCAACCTGAAGCAGACCCAGGGGAGCTGTAGTTCTGGAGCTCTGAGACGGAGGGGCCTGTCCCCTGGCGCAGGGGAGAACGGCGGGCCTGTGGCCAGGTGTCCCCATTCTCTCTTGCGGGACGTCCATGCTGAGCCTCCCTGTGGCGTCCGGCCCCGTGAAGGCCTGCACCGCGGGGGCTCCCATTTGCGTCCCGCCCACTCCGGATTCTAGATCGGCTGCGCTGCTGGAGGAACTGGAGCCGCCATCAGCTCCTGCTCTGGCACACACCGAGCACAGGCTGGGCAGCAGCTCCAGGAGCACCCGGCTCAAGGCGCCTCTGCCGGGGCCATCATGGCTCTCCCGTGGCCCTCAGCCGGCTTCCGAGCTGCTCCCAGCTGATAAATCTTAACGCCAAAGGCCCAAGGCTGATGTCGCCGTTCACATGCACCAGGCGGGACGATGTGTTCTTGGATCTCGGGGGTGCTGAGGTGCAGAAGGGCCCCAGCCTTGTCCCGTCCCGGGTTCTGTCCACAGCAGCAACCCCAACGGACCCCCAAGCAGCTGAAATGGCTAAACCAGGCGCCGTCCGGCCTCTCGCCTTCCCCAGCTCCATCCGTGGAAGGTGGTCCTCTGGCTTTTCTCTAGGTTTCCAGAGACGGTGACCCTGTCATTTCTCCTTCTGGAAGAGCAGAAGCCTGTCTCCTGTCGTCTGGTGCTTCCTCTCCAGAGCCTTTACGCAGACAATGAGCTCCCAGAATGGTTCACAAGACACTGAACCGTGAGTTTGAGATCTGAAGGCCCTTTTCGTTCTCAGCTCCTCAACCCCTCATTGTGGCGGCTCAGGGGCCCCCAGACCCACGGCCTCGTCTGCCCCCCTGCGGAGAACGCCACCAGCTCCTGCAAAGGGCTGTGAGACACAGGCCAGGACAAAAGCTCTCCGCGCTTAGACCTGACCCCGTGAGTCACAGGTCAGGGTCACATGTGCGTCTGGGTCTGCGAGCCCCGTTTCTTCATGAGGTACCCACAGGTGGACATTACGAGAGAAAAGCGACGGTCAGTTGGGATCGTTCAGGTTTTCCGTTTGCTAACCCGGCTCGACAGCTCTGTGTCCACGGCCAGCCACGTGTGGGAGAGTTCTGCTAGCTCTGAAGCTTATATATGGGTTTTTCAGGTGGAGACAGATGCTTTAAGAGAGTTCTGATTAAATTCTGAAAAAAATGATTGTTCAAAAGTTTAGGCGGAAAAACCAATCTCGATCTGGAACTACTTCTCTGCTTTCATGAAACCGAAATGCTCTTCCTGGGGTCCGGCCTGCAGAGCTGCGTCTGGGGGTCCGGGAGGCGGTAGTGGCCACACCCTGCCTCCAGGGGGTGCTGTCGGGTCATCCTCCGTCCCGACCTAGGCCAGGCCCAGCGCCGTCTGCAGAGCACCGTCCTTGAAAGCTGGAGGAGCCCCCAGCAAGGCAGCGCAGCAGAGGGGAGGGATAAGGTCCCGAGCCCGCGGGATGCAAGTCCCCATGTTTGGGATAAAGGGGCCCAGGAGGTGCAACCATGAGGCCTCAGACCCGAGGGAGCTTCCTCTCAACGGCTTTCCTTCCAAATTCTTCCCAGCGCCTTCCACAGCTACCTGACTTGTCCTGTAACCTCTGCACGCCCGCTGGCTGATGCTCTTTTAGACAGGAGGGGACGGTGTGCATGGGACAGATATGCAAAGTCACAGCCCTAACCGTCTGATGGCCCCAAAGAACTCCAAGGGCGTGAGAACAAAAGCCACCAGTTCAGGAGAGAGGCCAGGCGGGATCCCACCGCCGCCAGGGTGGTCTCAGGGAAGAGAGAAGGCACTCCTGTCCCTGCTTACGGTGGTCGAGACACACAGAGGCCTCTCGGGCCAGACCTCCACGGACACAGGGATCACAGGTTTCACATGGGGCTAGTCAGCAGTCACGGAACCCCAAAGGGCAGGAAGAGCACTCAAGTACAAAGAAGCAGGGGAGGGGCAGGTGGGGGCAGCCCAGGCCACAGGGTGCCACGGTCCCAACCGCAGGGGCTGACCTCGCCCAATATGGACCCGACAGATGAGAAAACTCAATTACCAGGGTTTTTGGGAATCGGAAGGGGCTTTGGCACATCGCGAAACCCAGCCACCTGTGCCACGAGAACTTCCAAGTGCCCGAGCGCTCGTCAGTGCCGCCGCGAAGTCCACTGCGGCCGGCCCCAGGGGCTTCCGAGGGCGAAGGCGCCGTCGGCTCGGGCGGCTCGGGGGCCAGAAGGGCACGGGGCCAGTGTGGCCAGTGGCAGGAGCTGCCCGGCAGCTCCACCAGCGGGGGGACGGGGGCGGAGGAGCACTGAGGGGGCCCACCTGGTTCTACCTCAGGACATGCACACGCGGGTGGGTGTCTGTGTGCACGTGCGTGCGCCCAAGGGTGTGCGTGTGTGCACACGTCAGCCAGAGGGACCGCAAGCCGAGGGCACACGGACCCTGCTCCCGGTTCACCTGCCTCCCGTGAGAAACGGCGCCTCCTCCTCACAGACCACGGATTCCGACCTCCAGCGAGTGGTCAGAGTGGATTTGGCTGCGGAGTGAGGGCCTTCCCAGCTGGCGGCGCTCTAGCCGCCTGGTCACCCCGAGTTCCCTGGGGGCGCGGGCATTCTTCGAGGACGTTCCCAGGCACGCATCTCATGGCTGGTGGATGCGGTAGGCCGGCGTGTCTCTGCAGACAGCTTGCAGGCCCGGCTGGAGCCCCGTGTGGGGTGGGTGGCTTCGAGCACCTGCGTGGTGACCTGGAGCGGGGTAGGTCCCCCAGACCACGGCCAGCACTCAGAAGGGTCCTGCCTCGCGCTGCGGCGCGTGCCCCAGACGTTGAAGAGCAGTGGCCATGGGAGTGGCTCGTGGTGGCCTCGCTCCGTGTCTCTTTACGTGTCTCCCTAGGGTTGCAGCCCAGACCTCGGCTGGCTGCCGTGTCAGAGGCCAGGACTGGGTTTGGGCCGGGCCGGGGAAGGAAGCCAGCGGCCGACAGGCACAAGGTGACTAGTGGTTGGCACGAGGGCCGGAATGCCAGCAGACGTGACTCTTGGCTACAGAGCTTAGATCCCAAGACGGGAGTCCCAGTCGGGGTGGCTGTGGCCAGGGCCCCGTCCTGGGCCCGTCCTGACCCGTAGAGCAGCTGTCCCCCTGGGCTTCCCGCCCCTCTCATCCTTCCAGTGTTTCAGGAAGAGCAAAGGAAATAACCGTTTGCTAAGCCCATGGCTGCCTGGCTACAAGGCAGAGGACTGGACCAAACCGTGGCTCTGTAGCCGCAGAGAATCGGGGGACCCCCAGCCCCCTCCTCCGACTTGCTGATAAAGACCGGAGGCTAGACCCCTGCTGCTCCTGGCCCCTTCCCAACTCTGCCTCTCCTGGGGAGATTTCCAAAAACCCGGGGGAGGGGGCGGGACCAGTAGAACATGCATGTGGACACCTGTGGAACCCACTAGAAAGTCAGGCCTGCGGTGGACAGCTGGGGCCAGGAGCGGCTCTCCGCACCCCAAGTGACACGTGGGGTTTCCTGACGGGCAGGAATAAGTGCAGGGGCGCCTCGGACCCAGATCGTCCCCTCGGCCCTGCTTCCTCTGCTCCCAGTTAGACCCCCCACCACACCCGTAGGCCATGCTCCCTGGCGTCCCTCACCCTGGCTGAAGCAAAGGAAACGGCGTCGTGGGTGAGACAGTTCTTGGTGTCTGGGAACCACACCCGCATCGTTTGGGGGCAGAGAGGTGGCGGTTGCAAAATGAATTGGGAAACAATGTACCCCAAGCCGTCGGAGGGCTCCCGCTCTCCCGTCCTCTGGCCTGGCCCTGAGCCCCTGCCACGTCCACACAGGGGTCTCTGGCTCTGTGTGCAGGGGCTGGAGGGCGGCAGGGCCTGGGGCGAGTCACCTGCTAGACAGCAGCGGGAAGTGAAGGACTAGAAACCTCGTCTTCAGGGCCAGCGTCAGCAGAGCAAGCAGCGAGCACGAGCGCCCGGGTCAGGGTTGGGTGCCACGGGGCATCATGGGATGGCAGAGCTGCCAGCACAGTGGGGGGCAATGGGGTCCGTGGGGGAGACAAGCCTTTGCTCTAATCCGGGAACACTGCGACCACAGTGGAAGGACATGGTGATTGTTGCTTCGTCATGGGACCTGGCCTGAAGGGGCCCAGGCCACACAGAGGTGGCCATGCTGGGGCTTTAGGAGGGGTAGGGGACAGACGTGGATGACTGTTTTATTCCAAAGATAATTTAAAAACAGCGACATTCTAAAGCAGCCCACAAAGAGCTTACTGCCCGGAGCCGCCCGCGCTGGGGTTGGGGGCCTTTCCCGCGTGAGGTCACCTCCCAGGGGCAGTGACTCCTCGGGACAGGTGCTGGGACGGAGGGAAGAGCAGGAGCCACGGAGATGACGGGCTATGACGAGCACAGCTGCGTGATGACAGGACACACACGGGGCCATGTGGGAAGTGCACAAAGTTGCGGCAAGGCCGGCCATGCAGGGGCAGGAGGACAGAGTCGCCTTCCCTGTCCATTTAGTGACAAGGACCCTGATCCCCACAGCTGGGCTTCTCGGGACCCAAGACCGGAAACACTGCCAACACGCAGTGGCAACACAGCGGGCCCTCGGAGGAGACGAGCTGCCGGTCCAGATCCTGCTCCAGCCCCCGGACGACCGGCCTGGGGGTGGCGTGTGGACCCACCTCACGGGCAGCACACAGAGCCGGTCAGCCGCGCCGCGGCCACGCCCGCTCAGCTCAGCTCCCAGAGACCCTCTGTGGGCCCCGTGCGGGCGGGGCCAGCGTCCTCGGCCTCCACCACCGGCCGGCACACCCACCTGCGGGGCACTGTCCTGCCCTCAGGGAGTCCCTCTGGAACGAAGCACAGAGCGCAGGTCCTCTCCCAGCCATGGGCCGTGCCAACGGGGAGGTGGGGCAGGGGCGCGCCTCAGGCGGGCCATGGCCACAGGGGCGAGGAGGCCAGCTGGCTTATGGTCTGGGCACTAGGAAGGTGGCCTGGGGGGAGCCCCCCAAGGGGGATGTGGCGGCTGAGCCCCCGGGAGGACCCACCTCTGGTTGTCGGCAACATGTCCGAGAGCCCCTGCCAAGCAGTCACCATCTCTGGGTTCTTTTCCAAATCTGCGAAGTTCTTCCAGACTCTGATGGCGCCGTCATCTTGGGGAGAGAAGAGCAGGAGGTGAGAACACGGGCCTGGCCGCGGGGGCGTGTGGAGGAGCCCCCTGGGTGACAGGTGCCGTGCCACGAGACAGGAGACCACGCGGTCTCTGTGAGGCGGCCCAACGTAGCAGCAGCGGGGCTGTTCCTGGGAGGTCCGTCTCCTCCCGGGCATCCTCCCATCTGGGCCACGGGGGAAGCCGCAGCAGGGGTGCTGAGGGACCACTACCCTCGACCTCTGAGCCCAGGCAGCCCCCCTTCCCTCCAGTGATGTTCTCGGCAAAAAGCCAGGCCTTCCGCGGCACCCCTTCCTGTCTGCTCCACACAGGTGGGCCCTCAGTATGTGGCCCACAGGCTCCCCACATGAGGAGGTGGTCTGGCCGCCTCCCACCCGCCCCCCATGACCCTCAGCACAGAGCCCTCGTGCTCTCCTGTGAGCCTGAGCAGCGTGAGCGAGTGGCCTCGCCCCGTGTCCACCCCCCGGCGGTGCTCACAGCCCGGCCCAGCCCTGCTCTCTGACATGCTAGCCCTCACGTGTGGCCTTCGGCGCCCCCCAACCTGGGCTACGACCACTTGCCTCACGGCACAGACGGAAGACGAGGTCACTTGGGCCTGCTGACACCCGTCCTGCCCCTGGCCTCTGTGACTGTGAACTTTTCCTGGTCTGGACCCCAAGCCCTTGTGCTCCTCCACCACAACCCCTGGGGACCCGCTCCTGCGCCCACTGTGCCAGGAAATCACTCTCTCCCCACCTCCCTGGCGCTCAGAGGTGCTCAGTGTGACCTGTCCTACAGTCCGCGGAGCCGTCCTGGCCCCCCACTGCCCCGGGTGCCCGGCCGCTCCTTCACTCTCACACCTGCAGCGGAAGCAACTGCTGTGGCTTGACTTCATCTGGTCCTGAGCAGGCGCTGCCTGGGAGAGAGGCCACCAGCAGGACCTTTCCCCATGGACACGGCAGGGCCCAGGAATGCTCTGAAGTGGGGGAGGCAGCCCGCCCAGTGCAGTCAGCTCAACCATGTTGATGGCTCAGGAGCTCAGGCCTAACACAGGCCAGGGACAGGGCCAGGTCCGGCCAGGCCAGGGACATGCCCAGGATAGGACGGGCCAGGGCCAGGGAGAGGTTAGGATGGGCCAGGGCAGGCCATGATGGGAACATGCCCAGGACAGTTAGGGCCGGGCCCAGGCCAGGATGGGGGGGGCAGGCACCGCGGGAGCAGCCTGCACGGCCACCTTTGCCCTCTTCTTGCCTTGTGCGCCCCCATTCTCCCTTCCCGCCAGTCCCACCCCAGGGTGTCATCCCCGAAGGAGGTGCAGTTAGGCCAGTGGTGACTCTCACCCCCCACAGACAGTGAGGTCTTGTCTTCAAATGGCTAAAGGAGACGCTGTCCCCCGGAGTGGCTCACTGGGAAGCCTGAGGCAGGGAGGGGTGAAGCGGAGACATTGCAGACCCAGAAAGCAAGGGTGAGGCCCAGCACTGGCAGCGGCCCGCCAGGAGGCAGGAGCCTGGCCCACAGGGGAACCGGACGCACGGTGGCACAGTGGGGAGGGCCAGAGACCCCTGGGGAGCCGAGGCAGCGCCTGCTGCCGTCATGCTCTGTGCTTGGGACCCCTTCTCCCTTCAGCCTCGCCTCCAAGAGCATCGTAGAGGCCACAAGAAGAGGCTGACGGGGCCTTCCTGGTCAGGGGAGGGCCGGGGGTCCCTGGACACTGCCGGGCACCGGTCACCTGCTGGCCCTGTTGTCTGGGGGTGAAGCCTGCTTTGTCGGAAACCTCCCACCTCTTCCGTGATGGTGCGTTTCACCGCAGCCGGTGCCCTCTGCCAGAGCAACGCTTAGGGTCAGAAAAGGCTGTGTGTGAAGACGTGCGGGGTCCCCACGCTGGGTTTAGGGCCCGGGGCCCGGCCCCGCACACCACACTCACCCGTGGCCGTGAGCAGCAGCGAGCAGTCCTGGCCGTTCAGGTACTCCATGGCCGTGACCCTGGTGTACCGAGGGTTCCCATTGTGGAAGTAGTCCAGCTTCTCCCCTTTCTCCCAGTCCCAGAAACTTCAGGGAAGGAGAGAAGATCAGTCGTCAGGGAAATGCAAACCAAAGCCACAGGGCGATTCCCCCTCATGCCTGCCAGGGCAGCCACTCTCACGGAGGGCCACGAGCTCTGGCAGGATGTGGACAAGCAGCCTGTGTGCCCAGGGGGTCCGTCATGGGGGTACCACGGGGCCCGGAGTCCCACTGCTGGGTGTGCTGAGACATCCGTCCGCCCACGTTCAAGCCACCAATGGGGGGCGACTGTGATAATGACACAGGTACATAGCGAAAGAGCACATGTGTCTAGGAGACCCCGAGCAAATGAACAACATCGCATATCACGGTCCTAATTTCACTCGCCCGCAGAAGCCTTAATGAAGATTCGCTTCTACTTTAAAGGGAGCTGTTGGGGCTCCTGGGGGCTCAGTGGGTTAAGCCTCTGCGTTCGGCTCAGGTCATGATCCCAGGTCCAGGGATCGAGCCCCGCATCGGGCTCTTTGCTCAGCGGGGAGCCTGCTTCCTCCTCTCTCTCTCTGCCTGCCTCTCTGCCTACTTGTGATCTCTGTGTGTCAAATGAATAAATAAAATCTTCAAAAAAAAAAAAAAAGACCTGTTAAAAATATAAAGAAAGAGATGTGTTTTAGAGCAGACCCGCATCCGAGATAAAACCGAGGTCCTCTGGCATTGGGTAGAAGCCACTTGGGGGCAGATCTCTAAGACTCTGCCGCTGTGATTTACATCCACTTCCTTTTCTAACAAAATCAAACCCAATATATCATCAAGGCAGACTTCGTTCTGTTTTATGTTTTGCCTTCTTCTAAGTTAAAACTGGACATATGTTTTACAAAATAAAAGCAGAGCCTGACCATATGAACATATTGAAAAAACAAATGTGGAAATGACCCACGTGTCCATTGCTGGATGGATGATAAAGCACGGTCCGTCCACACACGGGCTGTCACCTGGCCTGCGCAAGGGGGACATTATGACACCTGCCACAGACCTCGAGGGCCCTGTGCTCAGTGGGAGGGGCCGGACAAACAGGGCAGGTAAGGTCGCTGGGGCCTCAAACTCGGGACAGACAGCGGATGGCTGGTGCCGGGGAGTGGAAGGCGGGCGTAGGGACCAGTGGGGACAGCTTCAGTTTTACAGGACAGAGAGAGCTCTGGAGGCGGATGGTGGCAGCTACGTGGCCTTGTGAATGCTCCTGGTGCCCCCGAACGGCGCGCCTACACACAGTTACGGCGCTGAATTTCTGTGCATTTTGCAGGATAAAGCAAAGAGGAGGAACAGAGGTGAGAACACCCCAGATGTCGTCCCCCGCGATGCAGGTATGTTCTTCACGGCAACAGGGCGAGGCCTACTTTGAGTTAAAGTCAGTGTCTACGCGCCCCACAGGAGGTAGCAGGAGTGAGGCCCTTGTAGGTGCGTCTCTGGCTCGGTGTGGTTTTGGGGAGCCCGTGACACCGGAGTGCCCGTCCCCACCCGCCCATTCCTCTGCGCGTTCCCGAGCCCGGCCCCGTCTGTCCCCCAGAGGGCTTGTGGCCGTCGCGGGCACCCTGCCTACCAGATGCTGTCTTTGTCAGCCACGGCCACACATGGCGTAAAGGGGTGGAACTTGACCACGGAGGGGACGCCGGGGTTCCTGTTCAGAAAGATCTGGTCGTCCAGTTTTGCGATACCTGCCCGAAGAGACACAGCAACGGGCCTCAGCGTCCAGCGCCCGGGGCCGATGTCACGCCACTGGGGCCAAGGCCGCGTCTCCTGTCCTGGGAACTGGGAGGCTGCCGGGGACACACAGGCCAAGCAGGGGGTCGGACAAGGGTCTGGCTCCTCCATCACAGGGTCCCCCCACACCCCCCAGAGTGAGGCAGACACACGGCGAGTTCTCGGTCGGCGCTTGTCAACTCGCACGCGCAAGGACTCCCGAGCCGAGCTCAGAGCAGCGCGACGGGCCGGGGCCAGTGAAGAAAGCCAAGGGCAGCGGCTTCTGGCTTAGCCCTGGGTGGCGGCCTCAGGCACGCGCGCAGCCAAACCCGGGGGCCCCTCAGCCCTTGGGGGGGTGGGCCCTGAATCACCACAGATCACAAGGGAACTGAATGGGCCCCACACACCAGCCCCGGGGAAGGAGCCCCTGGGGCTTCGAAGGAGCCTGTTTTAGAGAAACAGTCAGAAGAGGCTAAAAAAAGCCAAGGTCAAGGCAGGCTCAGATGCGCCTCTGGTGGCCGGTGGATACGTGGCTGATCTGGCACCCCATGACCTGGTGGCCTCGGGCGCCTGCTGTCCCCGGTACTCTGGAGCGTGCTGGCGCTGGCTTCACGATGGTTTCGGTCCTTCATCCCCCTCCCCCGCATTACAACAGCAAACACTGGGAACCACCTGACAACAAGGTTGAGGGCAGTGTGACAGCGGCAAAGAGGCCCCAGAGGCTGTGCCCGCAGCAGTGACACGCTCTTCCCCGGAGTGGCCCTCACCCTGGGCCGTGGGTTTCTGTGGAGAGGTCTAGACTGCGGGGTACTGGGAGATGCTGGGGACACCTGGGTCCCAGGTTAGGGTGCACTGTGCATACGTGACAACGCAGGTTCTGCTCGCCAAGGTGGCTGGGGTGACGCTGGGCGCAGGTCACCTGGCTGACCTACAGGCCCCTTCCCGTCCCTCCTGGGTGCACAGCGGCTCTCAGACAGAATGCTGCACGCGGAGTGCAGAGGGGGACCGTGGTGTCACCAGCGTCCCCGTCTCTGGTGGCTGGGGCCACCGTACAGACTGCTCCATCTCCAAGTCCCACCAGCTGACATCTCTAGCAGAGCGTCAGGCGCTGCCCTTACTGTGTTCTAACAAGGAGGCATCTTCTTCCCACAAAGACTGGAGAAGAGAACTCCTGACTTTGGTTTACGAGGAGTCACTTGTTTTGTCTGGAGAGCCAGCTGCTTCTAGAGCCCCCGGCTCCGTCCACCCCCCGCCCTGGCCGGTTCTCTCCCGGAGAAGGCAGCCGTGGCTGCAGCAGGCCCTGGCCACGCATTCACGTGGTGACTGCAGGGGCAGCAGACACCGAATTCCGGGACACTAGAGCTGCCAGCAGCCCCGCACAGAGGCACGGAGTTATGAGTAGCCGAGATTAGTTTTCGGCAGAAGTAACTGCACACGCTAACGAAACACGGCCCCAAGGCAGTTTGCGGGGAGCACGCAACACGGCCGGCAGGGCACGTTAGTGGCCTCTAGCGTCGCCGCCTGTGTGCTCAGGGGCACGGGGCGTGCCGGCCGTGGCTGCCCAGCCCCGCATGTCTGCAGGGACAGCCTGCCTCGTGGGCCCTTAGCCCCAACTTGAAAATCGTCACAACTGTAGAGGACAGAGAGGCAAGGTCAAAACAGTCCATCAGCAGAATGGCCGAGAGCCCGTGACTTCCTGCTCTGGGCAGGGGCCGGGCAGCGTCGGTCCACCATCTGGCTCCCCAGGAGATGTGATCGCACCCGTCTCTGTGCACCAGGACCACGGGACTGAGTCAGCCACAGGGGCTGGGCCCTTATGGCAGCCCGTCCCCGGAGAGAGAGGGAGGGGAGAGGCTGCCTGGCATCCCTGTCCCTGACCCCATCGCGCGATGGAGGCCTGAGACCGCCCCTCCCTCCCTGCCTCGTGCCCTGGGCGTGTGGCCCAGCCCTGCCCGCAGCCCCTCTGAGGCCGCCTCCACACGGGTGAGGCTGGGGGCACGCACAGGGGCAGTCTGGCGTGTCTCGGCAAATCTGGTCACAGGTTTGGAAACTGGCCCAAGTGCAGCTTTGGTTGACAGAAAGTGATTGTCCCGGGGACAGGTGGGGACCAGCTGGACACGACCAGGGCCTGGTGCCTGTCTTGTGTCCCCAGAGAGAGCACGGGGCGGGGGGTGGGGCGCTCGCTCCTTCCCTTCTGGAAACGGCAAAACACCCCAGCCACGTGCCTGTGAGAGGCCACCAGCCAGCCAGGGCTTCCCTTGGGGGAGAATGGCAGAGGGCACTCGGGGGGTCCTGGGGCCCAGGGCGCACCCCCAGCCTCAGGACCCCGTCTGTACCCCGCACCACGGCGGGCGGGCGCCTGCGTCACTGAGGGCCCTCGGAGACCCCCCCACGAATCCGGGCGGCTTACCCTTCTGGATGAGCTGCCGCGCCTGCTGTCTGACCTGCGTGTTGCGGAGAAACCGCCACTCGCGCTCCTTGCGGATCTGACTCTCCAGGTCGTGCTCCTCCGGGATCTTCAACAACAAAAACACAGCGTGAGCCTCCGCCGGAACGGCTACAGCGCCGTGTGTCAGTGCGCCTCACAGACGCTGCGCCTGTCCTAACGGGAGGTCTGCGGCCACCCTGCGTCCCGCTCGCCCGTGGGTACCACCTTCCCAGCAGCCCCTGCTCCCTCCAGGTCCCTGGTCACGCTTCGGTGACTCTCACAGCACCTCACACTGCTCGCTGTCAGTACGTTTGTTATGGGGTCTGGGGTCAGGGACTGTGACTCGGAAAGCCCACGGGACGGGCCTCCCTTAGCCGCGAGCTGTCTGTCCACTCGTCTACACGCTGCTTTAGCCGCCATGCTGCTGCGCACTCGGCGGACGGAGCGTAGGGCGAATGTGACTTTTACACGCACGCGCCGACTCCTTTACTGTGGAGCTCTGGGCCCAAACCTGCCGTGTCTCCAAGTACTGACCCTGTGCCCGAAAGAAAGTCCGGGTTCTCGGGTCTGGCCAGAGCACCCGCTGCCCGCCGGGAGGTACAGAGTATGACCGGCGGGACCGCAGGGTCCGGGGGCTGACAGAGCGCCAGGGTGGACGGCAGTGGAGACTCAGGGATACCCCAGTCCTGGAGGGTCATGCACTGTCTACTCCTAGGAGCCCAGTGCCCTGACAGGGGCAGCTGGGCGGCCACTTCCGAAGCAGACAAGGAGATTCTGGGGGAAGGAACCAGCGGGATTCTGCAGGACGTGCCCGTCGGCCTGAGCGCGCTGAAAAGAAGGGGGATGTGCTCTGGGACTTTTGCCCGCGTTCCTTCTCTGATGCGGAGAACCAGGGCTTCTCGCTTAACAGAAAGGGTGTTAGGGCAGCAACAGAAGGGCCTGACTGGACACGGCACAGGGAGAAGCCCGTGGACCCCACGAGGGGTCGGCAGGAACGAGCCGAACTGCTCAGCTTCCCATGAGCTCCCGAGAACCCTGCACTCTCCTGGCCGAGCCACGGCGTCGTGCGCTGAGCCCACGCCCCCTGAACAAAGCAGGGGCTCCACAAACCGGCCCGCTCTCCGCTCCTTGAGCAGGAAGGCCCGTGTGTGCACGTGGGTGTCCGCGAGAGGCCCGCCGCTGGCCAAGAAGCCAGGACCACAGTCTCCTCATGCAGTAGCGGAGCATTTCCTTAATCCTCACACGTCGGCAAGAAACTAGATGGACTTGGACTCTCTGCTCCAAAGCCTGGGTCTGTGAAGTCCCAAGACATGAGAGAAGTGAAGCAGCCCCACCGGCTGAGCCGAGAGCTGAGCCGACCGTGACTGGCCCGCGGTCGGCGAGAACAGAGTGCACGGGCGCCAACGGCCCACACTCGGTGTTTACAGTCTGTCTCCTCTGCTAGAGAAACCACCAGCTGCCGGCCAGTGAGTGTGGCCATGCACGTGATCTCCTGTGCAGGCACAGCTGTGCAAGGACAGGTCCGCACGCAGACAGGAGCCCAGGTCCCGCTTGGGGCGGCTGTGACATGAGCACGGCAGCACAGGTCTCGGTCTGCGCCAGGAATGCTCCATGCCGTCCGTTACAAACACGAACCGCCCGACCTCATGCTGGGGCCTTCGGCTCTCTCTGGCCAGCATGTCCGTGCTCTGCTCCTATCTTTTCCTTAAAAATCACAACCCCACCCTGAACAAAACAGCAACAGCCACAACAGGGACATCCAAACATGGAGACGACACAGAGACGGTGTCAGCCTTCACAGAACGCTCCTTGGGCTGGACATAACCCCCAGGGGCAGACGCGGTAGAGCCCAGGTTTTTTTTCTTTTTTTTTTTTTTAAAGATTTTATTTATTCATTTGACAGAGAGAGAGATCACAAGTAGGCGGAGAGGCAGGCAGAGAGAGGGAGGAAGCAGGCCCTCCGCGGAGCAGAGAGCCCAATGCGGGGCTTGATCCCAGGACCCTGGGATCATGACCCGAGCTGAAGGCAGAGGCTTTAACCCACTGAGCCACCCAGGCGCCCCAAGCCCAGGTTTCTAATGGTTGGTTTTGTTTGTGACAACCTGGAAACCAGAAAAGAAATGACCGAGGGTCAGTACTGTCGAGTGACAAGAACAGCCCCAAGGAATGGAGGGCACCTGATGGCAGAGACCCTGGCCTCTCATGGACTCTGGTTTCTGCGGGAACGTGCTGGCGGAAGCGCAGAAGGTGCTCTGGGCAGGACGGGCAGGACAGGCATGGAGCTCCTGGACGCACATGCCCCAGGGCCCAGGGGCCACTTGTGCAGGCCGAGGACCGGGGGCCCAGGGACAGACCTGGGGGTTCCAAAGGACACAAGGCAGTGGCAGTAGGGACAGGTAAGAAGGTTGTGGACATGCAGGCCACCCCCCCGCCTGCCTGGGCCCTGTCACGTCCCTGTGCTCTTCTGACAGGAGTGTGATGCTCCCAGTGCAGCAGCGTCCACTGGTGTCCACTGTGTCTGCCCCCACGGGCATGCTGAGCTCATCGGGGATGGTCTGACCTGCACCCAGCTCTGTAACTGCGGCGGGCACCGTCTGTGGACAGTCCACTAAGAACCATGGGGATGGAGCAGCAGGGCGGGCGGGTATGGGTGCGGAGCAGTCTGCATGACTAGGGCCGTGACACCTCGGTCCCAGCAGCTCCTGGCCTCTACACGGAAACCATTTCCCACCCTGATGCCTCCCAGAGATGTGGGGGAGGGGGCCTCCGGTCTGGGCTGGCCCTGAAACAATTGGGGCAAGGATCAGTGGGTCCCCCGAAGGCAAAAGGGGAGACAGCGCCTGGGAAGGCTGCCAACGTGAGGCACAGGCTCAGACCCACAGACAAGGCCCCTTCTGACGACACAACGCAGCGCCTCACCCCAACACGTCCTGTGATTTTTCTGGTCGTGCGGAAACAAATGAGGAGGTGGGCTCCGGCGCACAGAGAGGCAGTGGATCCTGGCGACACGGCACCCCTGTGATTCGGCCAGGCCTGCTCTGCGTTGGTGCCGCTGGTGGGCGCAGCACCGAGGTGAGGCCCGGGTGCCCTGAGAGTACCGGGGCCAGACGCGAACGCCTTCGTCCTCCAACGACACTCCCTGCAAAGCGTCAGGCTGGCGGAGACGGAGTCCCCCTGCAGGTCACCCGCCTCTCCTGGTGGAGAACAGAGCTCGGCCCCGCTCCATGGCCCTCTGGGGTCAGCCGCCCAGCCCTTCTGATTTGGCTTTTCCGGAGTGTCAGGTATATGGGCTCGCGGTGTGCAGTCCTCGTATCTGGTTTGTTCAGTGAGCGCTAACGCTCGAGGTTCGGCAACGTTGGGCGCGAACCATTTATCTGGAAAACCTTCTCAGGTGACTGGTGGCTCCCTATGTGGCCCCTCACCGCTCGCGCACCAGGGGAAGGACGCCTGGCTTCTGTCGGGTTTTCGGTGATCATGAACAAGACCGCTAGAGACCCGCGCACTCAGGTTCCCACTGCTCCCGGGGGAGCGCCCGTCCAGCGGGGGTGCTGGGTCCCGGGTCAGTGTGTGCTCAGCTTTACAGGAAGGGGCCACACGTCTCTAGAGTGTCCGCGATACTCGTCCTCTGCACACGGGGGCGTCCCAGCAGCTTGGTGCCCCTCGTCAGCACCTGGCTTCCCCGGTCTGAGACGTTCGCCATCGTGCGGAGGCGCTGCTGTCTCCTGTGGCAGCTCGTGCCCCCCACGACCTCCTGTCTTAACTGCACTCGCCTCGTCCGTGCTCTTTCGTTGTCTGCACACCTTTTCGGGAAACGGTCTTGGCCAACCTTCTGTCTGTTGTTTTTCATTGCGCTGTGTCCTGTATGGAACTCTGGGAGTTCTTCCTTATTCGGATGCAAGACTTTCGTTACACGTGTGTTTTACAATGTTTTTCTCCAGGCTGTGGCTCGTGTTTTCATGTTAACAGGGACATTCACAAAGCGGTTAATAGGACGAAACCCACCTCCCATTTTCTTCTTGTGTCTTTTGAGAAGCTTGTGCTTTTCAAAGATCCATTGCCTCACAGGCGAGAAGGGGCTTCTAGAAGTTTCCTGGCTGTAGGTTTCACGGCAGGACAAGGTGGTCTTGGAGTTGGTTTCTGGATGTGGTGTGGGAGATGGACTGACAGTCTTCTTCTGGGCAAGTGGACATCCAGTCACTGCAGCGCCCCACGCTGAAAGACCATCTTCCGTCTGGGGCTTTGTGGAAGCCCGATGAGAAGTGCTGTGGCTCCATCTCGGGGCTCCGTCCTGTCCCCCAGAGCCCGTGCCTGCCCTCCCCAGCCCACTGCTGAGTGGCCTCTTGAGGTCACACAGTGCGGGTCCTCCGACTGTGTTCTGTGACAAAACTTTCTTTAGCTTCTTTGCTTTTTCCTGTAATTTTTAGAACGGGCTTGTTGATCAGAATAAAACCCGTTGGGACATGGAGTGGGCTGGCGTTGACCTGCGTGCCAGGTTAGGGAGACCGGACACCTTTGGGTCACCGAGCGCTCCGGCCCCCGAGCGTGCCTCGCATCAGGCCTCCGTGCACTTTCTTCATCGCTGTTTTGTATTTTTCAGCTGTCGGGTCTCATGTGTATTTTTTTAAAAGAAGAATCAGAGTTAAGTATGTAATGTTTTGGGAGTGTTATTATAAGTGGTTTAATTTCAATTTCCAGGAGTTCCTGCAGAAATACAACAGGTTCGGGTATAATGACCGTGTATCCCGCAGTCTCACCGGCTCCTCTTGTCTTATGACATTAAGCAGATGCCCTGGGGGTTCCTGCACACACCATAGTGCGGCGTGAGCAGAGCGCTCTCACCTTTCCACCTGCACGCCGCCCTCCGGCAGGCTGAGCACCGGGAGCGGGAGAGCAGACGGCCTCGCCGTAGTTCTGGTTTTGAGACAAAACAGCGTGTCTTTTGCCGGTGAGAACGGCAGCTGGGAGTTCCGCAGGGGCGTGTGCGGGGAAGGCAGCTTACTTCTGGTCCTCGTTTGTGGACAGTTTCATTATGGACCGTCGTTGATTCTGTCAAACCCTTTTCCTGCAGCTACGAGGATGATGAGAGGGTTTCTCTTCCGTCTGCTGAAACGCTCGACGACGGTTAATTTAACACAACGTACAGCTTGGCATTCTCGAGACAGACCCCGCTTGGTCAGCAACATCTTGTCCATTTTATGTTTCGCTGCACTTGGTCTGATAATATCATGTTGCAGGTTTGGAGACCACATTCCTGAGGGACACTGGTTTGTGGTTTTTTTATTCTTTAAAGTCTTTGACTGGTTTTGGTATCCGCGTAATGCTGCCCTCAGACAGTGAACTGGGAGGTGTTGGCTCCTTTCATTTCCTGCAATAGATTATAAAGAACTCGTATTATTTTTTCCCTAAATTTGGGTAAAATTTTTCAGGGAAACTTCCGCAGCTGGAGTGGTCTTTCTCTGTTGGACGGCTGTGACCACACACTCATCTCCCCTCCCGGATGTGGGCCCATCTGCGCTCTCGTCACCGTGTGGCGTGAGTTCTGGTCGTTGGCGTCTGTCACGCAGCGTGTCCATTTCCACCAAGCCGTCGGTCTACGGCTGTAGCGTGTCGCCGCGTGGTGTGCCTCTGGGCTCCTGCTCGAGGCTACTCTCCGTGCGCCTGTCCTTGAGCCAGCACCATGCCGTCCCCCTTCCTGCCACTAGGCAGCGGGTTTGAAATCGGTTTTGAATTTTGAATTGTCTTTTACAACACTGTTTGTCCCCAGCGCCACCCTGGGCCTCCCGCATTTCCATCTGAATGTTCGTCTCAGCTCGTCAGTTTCTGCACAAAAACGGCAGCTGGGGTCCTCCATGTCACAGGGCAGCCTGCTCCAGAACACAGTTCTTTCCGGCCACGCAGACCTGAAGTGGCAAGAAGCATTAAGTGCCTGGCCACCACTGGTGGGTACCGGTCGCCCGAGCACGAGGGGCCCCGCGGTGGTGCACGGACACGCTGGGGACAGTTCTGCTCTCTGGTGGCTAGCTCAGTTTCCCACACGGACCTGTGACGCAGCTTAGCGCTCGGACTTCTGGGGTACAGTCCTAGCTTTGAGCTATTCTTAGTCTGCGCGTGAGATGGGCGAACAAAAAAGCTCCCGGCTCATCGGCCACCCCCGCATGCGCCATTAGACGATGAAATAATGAATAAAGGAACACCCTCGGGGTGAGCCCTGGAAAAAGGACAATTTTTAAACAATCACCATGAGATAAAAACGCATCCTCCAATAACGTTTAGAAAGGGTCTCTGACTAGCGCAGGAGAAGTTCCCAGGCCCTCGACCACCCTCCCGTCTCAGCCGCCGTCGGGAGCTGAGAACAAAACCGGTCAGAGCTTCACCTGCAACCCGGACGCCGGGGCTTGGCCGGCCCTTAGAGCCGCAGCCGCGCGACTGTCTGAGCGAGGCGGCCGGGCTTACGCAACGACTTCCTGGCCGCCTCCCGTGGGCTACGCGGTTTGAAAGGCCAGAGGTGCACCCATGAGGACACTCCTTCCCCAGGCCACGGCCATGTCCATGCTCTGGGAGCCGCAGGCTCCCTCCCGGCGATGTGCGGGACCGCCCCCAGCAGGCCCTCCAGGACACACTCCAGGTGCACGAAGAGGGCATGAAGGCAGCGGACCTGCGGCCACAGGGGAAAGGGGGGCGGTGCTGGCTCCGGGCATGCATGCCCGCATCCGGGAGTAGCGCGGGAGCAAACCCCCCGGCCCGCCCTCAGGAAGCCGCTCAGCGTGTGCTGACTGCGCGCCCAGGAGGCGCCCAGCTTTAACTCCAGCCCAAGGACCCGCGCGGACCAGAAGAAACCAGACCCTGGGAGGACCACACTCGTCTCAGGCCTGGGGGGGAAGGAGCTTGCTGACCCGCGGCCCTTCTCCCTGCCGGCAATGTGGACGGCCAGAACGGCGGTTTCAGATGTCAGGAAAAGCCACTCATCGCCACGCCAAGGAACCCCATAACTTACAGGCGATGCCACTTCAGTGAGAGGCCGAGCAGCCCCCCACCCCTGACCCCAGGCCCCCAGCACTTGGCCTCGCTCGCAGGAGACTGTGTCAGGGAGACGAGCTTCTGTGGACACTGAGCAGAACCCCATTTCCCCGAGAGCAGATGGCAGCAGAGCTCTAAGGTCGGCTCGCGGCCCACAGCAGCAGGGCCCCCGCATCGGGGTGCAAACTCCAGCATTTGCTCACTTGTTCCTTCCTCGGCGAGGGCTCGGGTGGCAGCCTGGGGGCCCACCCGGTGGTGGCAGGCAGCGTGCCGGAAGTCCGGGAGGTCAGCATGGCCTTGGCTGCCTCGTGTTTGCCGCCTTCGTACTCCGTCCTGACCGTGCTGGTACTTGGCGCTTGGTGGGCCGACAGACAGAGAAAGATCAACAGGCTCGGGGCCGGGCTGATGCGTCACCAGAGACCCTCCATCGGGCCGGGCCAGCTGCCTTGGTGTGTGTCCCGTGTGCTGTGGTTCCCACGAGGACCACCCTGTGGCCGATTTATGTCCTATTTTTCCCCTTCCTGCCAGTTCTAGCACAAGCATTTCCTTAAGATGCTAATTTCCAACCTTAACTTTTTAATAGCAAGAAACATCGTATCCAACAGTCCGTCGTGGCTAAGCCCTCGTCCCCAACTGGGCCTCCGGGTGGGTCCTTCCCGCTACGGTAAACAGCACACAGGTGCTCCACGACCCGGATCCGCTCCCGGAGTCGGTCATTGCGGCGAGTCGCTGCGCGGAAGGCAGCAGCTGCTCGCGGCTCCCGACGCTTCCCGCTGACCGCCTCCGGGAGTCGGGCTCAGGAGACGGAAGGGAGAGCTCCCCTTGTCAGCAGAGGGGCTCAGAGAACTACGACTCCGTTGTCTGCCTCAGGTCCCCACAATGACCGTCTCGTGCTTCTGCTGACAAAAATCAACATCGTCATGGGGAACGAGGGAACGGGACGGAAGCTGCCACGCGGGGCCCAAGCCCTCCTCGAGGAGCCTGCTCGGACGTGTAGCTCGTCACATGATGAAGACGAAACTGCAGTTTTCAGTGCTCTTCGTGAGGAAGACAGGGCTCTCTAAGAGCGGGCTTCCGGGAAGCTTGTCACAAGCCGCCGCAGCGCTCCGGGGCAGAGACGGCAGGACAAAGCGTGGCCCGCCCCACGCCAGCCCCTGGATGCGCGGCTCGAATCTGCGGTGACGGGACGCGTCTCTGGTCAGGGATGCGGTAGAATGAGGCACCAGAACCGGCCCTGGCGGACGGGTCAGAGCCCAAGCCTCGGGCCGTCCTCACCAGGAGGCCTCAGACGGCCTGGCGGCCTTGCCGAGCAGGACAGCGTGACGCCCTTGTGCAGGTAGCTCAGGGAGGGCAAGCCGGCCTGGTCTCTCTCAGAAGACAGGGCGGAAGAAGGAGTCCGTTCCTTAGCTGTTCTGACTGCTCACATCAGCCTCGCGATGGCAGTCTGGGGCAGCCCCTCAGCAGCCGTGAATGTGACAGGACGGGAGCCCCCGAGGGTCAGCGGCTGGGCCAGCGGGAGCCAGGTGGGTGGCCAGCTGGGACAGTGCACAGGCCCGGCAGGTCCGCCATCGGCTCGGAGCAGAGGGCTCCGACCGCGGAGGCCGGGGGCCGGGGCTCTGGGGGAAGGAAGGAGGGCAAGACGGGAGCCGAGGGCAAGGCTCTGCCCGACCCCAGTGCCTGCACGAGACGCGGAGGGCAGGCCCGCTCCGCACCCAGAGTGGGTGTGTATGTCGTGACACACGCTACCTTCATGACAGGCTGGGCGAAGTACCGGGCGCTCCAGTCGCAGAAGCCGGTCTGCACCGTGGCCGAGACGAGGCTCCTGTGCCCCGCAGCGTCGTCTGCGTCGTCGGTGGTCTTCACGGGCGTTTGCGGGGGGGAGGAGAGAAAACAGAGACACTAGTCACACACTCCACACACCTCTTTGTGCGCCTGAGAGGACTGGAAAGGAGGCAAAGGCAGCGGTCTGGGTGCCGAGAATGTTTCTCTGCTGGCCTCACGTCTGCATCCTGGTGGCAGGGGACCAAGTGTGTGGCCAGGGTTCCGGGGAGCCCCCGTTAGGGAGGGCCATGGAGTCTGCACTCAGGGACCATCCCCCAGGGCCAGCCACGGCGGCTTGGGGTGCAGAGGCGGTCACTCTTAAATCAGATGCACAGGCCAGGCGCTGTGAGGTCAGCAAGGCCTTGCGGCCTCTGCGGTCTGGCAGGGCAGCGGCTGCCAGCGATCTGGCCCCTTGCTGTGCCAAGTGGCTCCAGCACCGGAGGTCACACAAGCGGCGAGACCTACACTGCTTTGGTGCTGCTGCTTTGTGGTGCGACGCGTTTGTTTCCCACAGCAGGGTCTACGGAGGCAGGGGCGGCCACACTGAAGGCGTTCCTCAGACAGGGGCCCCCATTATCCAGGGGAGACTTGCCTGGGGCCAAGTCCCCCAGCCGGGACGCAGTGAGAGGGTCTTATCCCGACAGCTGCGGGAAGCTCTGCTGGGCCTAGCCCCTGGGCGCGTGGCCCCAAGGACAGTGAGCGCCCCCTGAGCCCTGCCGCTCCTGTCTGGCTAACCCGCGTCAGGGTCTAGCCAGGAGGAGGAAGCTCCCACGGGGGCTCATGGCCACATCTGCCCCACAGAGACCAGCAGGAGGCCTTGAACGCCAGGGTGGGTGAGGGTTTGGGGGCACGTGTGCCTTTGCTCTGGTCTCCCTGCAGGCTGCTGGGAGTTTCCTGTTAAAACTGTGGGTCACAGGAGCTGCGACCCACGGCTGACGTGGCGTCCACAGCAGCCCGACTCCCTCGGTGTGTCCTTGTCGGTAAGTGGCAGACCGTGGATGAGAGCCAAGGCCCAGCTCCTGTGCTCACGGTGCCCAGGCACACGGGGACACCAACTCCTCCCGCTCCCGAGATCTCGGAAATCCCAGCTGAGAGGCAGAGGCCACGGCCCCTTACGTGGCACAACGGACGCTTACAGAGAAGTCAGCGCCCTGCTCAGAACAGCCACTTCTGTGGGGCGGCTGTCCCGGCCCGTGGAGGACAAGGCTACTCATCCACGAAGGGAGAAAGCAAATGAGCTCCAAGAGCGCTCCAGCTGCATGGAAGGTGCCGGGACGGGGAGCCCACTACAAAAGGCCACAGGAGAAAGGACCTCGTGACAGCTGTGATGCTGGTGCAAACCGAGAGCTCCCGCTGGCGGCAGGGGGTGGCGGCCCCTGTGTCCTGGGCTCCAGAGCCTGGGCTCACAGCGAGGGGTGTGGTGTGTGGCCCCCACACTCCCGAGGAGCGCCAGGGGACGGTCTGATGGTACCTGGTCTGGGCCCTTGTCAAACATCTTCCGTGTGCGGGGAAACTGCTGGGAGTGTGGCGTGTACTGCACCCCCGCAGCGCCTGGGCCACCGGGGCGGCCCGCGGGCAGGTCTCGGCCAACTGGCTGCTTGGTCACGTCGTTGGTCAGACTGGAGCTGCTGGCGCTGGATGTCGGTGGGGAGCCCCTGCCGTTGGGGGAAGAGGAAACGCTGCGTTTTACCCAAACGTGAAATACCTTGTCTGCACACCGCCCACCTAGACGCTGCCAACAGACCTGGGATCAGGAGCCCAACATGTCCTCACTCGCCCGGCACGTCCCCATGCCTCCAGACCCCAGCCGCCAATGACCCTTCCAGGCCCTGCCTGCAGGTTCTCAGAGTCACCTCTCCAGAAAGCTGGGGGAGCCCCAGGCAAGCTGCACCCCCTAAGCAAACCAGCCGGGGCCCAGGCAGGTACAGTGGCCCACGTGTGCTCACGGCTTCCTGCCTCTGCACACTGCCTGCGGGGGGCCGACCGGCCGGGTGGAGACCCTCGCTTCTGAACTTCTGCGGGGCGGCAGATGTCAGGCTCAGGTCAGAGGAAGGCAGTGAGGGCTTCTAGCCAGGGGCCCACGGGAGGGACACAGGCCACTTACCCCGCCTGGTGGATGTGGATGCCCTTGTTGGTGGGGCTGGCGGGGGCCGACTGGGTGAGTGAGGACGTGGTCAGGACCCGCTGCGGCCGGGCGTTCGCTGTGGCCTGCAAGAGCAAAGGGACAAGCGGCGCGGACGTCAGCTGCCGGCAGCCTCCGAGGCC